GTCACGAACGCAAAATAACGAATCGCGCTTGCCAATTTTCGCCAAGTTTGGAGAGCGCGACTCGGTTTCGGGCGAGCGCGACTCGGTTTCTGGCGATTGTGACGCGTCTTAGGAGGAATCATGTACCCTAAGCTTCTTAAAAAAAAAAAAACAAACAAACAAATTGAAGGAAGGCTGGATGTTATCCTGGATTCTGCCGAGTAGGGGAGAGTCCCTCACGGGGCCCGGGCATCAAGGCGGCGGTTGTGTTCGTAACAAGCATTTTGTAACACCTCGCTACCCACTGGGTCAAAACGAGGGTTATATTTGAGGCGCAGCGGATGCAGTCAACCCTTACGTGTAAGCCCCGCAGGCGTTACACATTTACCCACATCAATTCGTCTGTCCCTTAGTAAGGGACAGATTCAGGACCGTCCCGCTTGTGACACCTCTGTGTAAGTTGTGTGTGGCGCAACTGGATGTTCTAAACCGAGGAAGCAAGATTCTGTGCTTCCCGTATGGCCTCGGCTGGAGCCTCCGAGGCTGAGTCGTTTTTCCCCTAGCCTTCCTGGGAGTCCTTTCATTCGTAAAGGGAACTTCTCTTCAACGCTTTTGGATTCTGAAGCGCCTCCAAACTTTCAAGTGATTCCTGCTCCAAAGGATCCAAATAGAAAAGTTTGTAACCACACACACCATCATGGTATGTTTCTGGGCTGCGCACAGCGAAATCAATGGTGGGATCTGATCCATTATCCTTGGAGCTCCAGCTCTCGAGCCTCCTCCGTTGGGTTGAACCGCCAGGTTATCCTTCCAAACCTCTCTCGTGCTCACTCACTTCACCCACCCATTTGCAAGGTGGTCTTATATTCCGCCAACCATACTGCACAGCGGACTGCGGACAATTTGATGCCAGATTCGTGGGGAGCATCCTCACTCCCACGCTCGCATACTCACTCCCAACCCAACCACCCATGCTCGCTTTCACGCACTCATGAGCGAAATTTCAACCAAAACATTCAGTCCTACCCCATTCTCCCTCTCCCCTTTCCCGTTCTACCCCCTTTTCCCTTCTTCTAATTCTCCTGTGAAGCAGCTCCTCTCATCGTTGCATGCATCAGCGTCCCCTCCCAGGCCGTTTCTGGATTTCGCGTTCTCCGAGGCACAGTGTGGCACCTGGGCGGCTGACTACTCCGCCCTGCACTCCCGCATTCGCGACGCTGCCCGCGCCCACGCCAGCACCCTCGCTCAGACTGCTGCTGCCGCTGCTGTAGCTGCTGCTGCTGCGGCTGCACTACCACTGCCGCCGCTGCCACCACCGTCACCACCACCACCGTCACCCCCACCACCGTCACCCCCACCACCATCACCCCCACCACCATCACCCCCCCCACCACGCCCCCTACTCTCGCCTCTTCCTCCGCTACCTCCCACTCCCACTGCTCCATCCCCACCTCCACCATCCCCTCCCCCTCCATCCCCCCCTCCTCCGTCCCCTCCTCCTCCATCCCCCCCTCCTCCGTCCCCCCCGCCACCATCCCCACCACCCCCAGCCGCATACCCCCAGCCTCCAAGGGACCCATCCATCCGCTTTCTCACATACGAATGGCTCGACTCCCCAGGGGGGTTAGGGGACTATCTCACAGGGCTGGCAACCAGCTTCGCATGCGCCATGCTCACAAACCGGGCCTTCATTGTACGGCACGCTCTCCTGCCACTTGCATTCGAGCCGAACCTCGTTGATTGGTCCTTCTCACCGGAGATTCCGGTGGAGCCGGCCCGCGTGATGACAGTTGAGCAGGTGATGAGGGGGATGGGCGAGAAAGGTGG